TTTTACCATCTTTGGGTAACGTAACTAGAAGAACACGGAAATCTTCAACTCTTTAGTGAAATCCATACTGATGCACTCCAAAGGAGCAGTATCAAGCAGCCATCATTTTATACTTAAATGCCATTTAAAACAACTGTTCTAGACAAAGGATATATAAGATCTGTCTTTAAAAACAGAACAAAATTACTCCCCCCCCCCCCCAACTTTCAATGTGATTTCTAATGGCTCTGTTGTAAAACTGATCTTCAGTTAAGGAGTAGGGAGATTTTGAAGGCAGGGGAGGTGGGGTAGTTTGTTTTTCAAATCTGAAGGTTACTATATTAAACAAGTAACATTCTGAAGTATTATTTAGATAAAGGATTTATCTACAGGTTACTGAATAACTCAAAAACCAGCCTGCAAATAATTGAAAATGTACATATCTGCCACATACAAAAATAGCTGCCCCGATGAAAAGGTGAAGTCATAAACCTGATTTCAAAAAAAAAACCGAATGAAACTGGTACTACAGTCATATCTCACTGTATAGATGGTGTGGGTTACAGGAATCTCACCTGGTCTACAGAGTGGAGATAATCACCAATTTGCAGAAGTCATCCTGAAAGAGTAGACACTAAATAACTGAATAAGCCCTATGATCTTTGAGCTGCTACTGATTCCACTCAACAATGCCAACTTGTTCCCTACAGAAGTCAGTCTTTCAGTTTACTTTTAAATGGGGCAGCTGGTACGAGAAGTGAATTTTTCAGGAATGGTTAGCTCTGTCTTGGAAAGTCTTGGGCAAGAGAGAACCAAGAAAAGAAGCTGAGTATCTGCAAGAAGGCAGTAACTTCAAAGGTGCTGCAAGACAGACAAAAGCTGAACAGTTTAAGGAGAAACCTGATGTGATTTAGAAAGGTGGACAGCCCTGCAGAGTCCAAACAGAAGAAGGTGTATCAGCTCAATGACAGCTGAATGGAGAAATACTTACAGATACCAAGGTGGCCACTACTACAGGAATACCTAAGGACTTTCTAATATTAAGATGCATTTTTAGAATGTTAAGCTTAACATATAAATGAACATGTTTAGTTTGGACACTACAACTGTATTATAGCATGTAACATATATGGGGTCACACAGCCACTCAATCTACTAAAAAAAGAACTGTGCTGCCTAGAAAGGGGTTTAATACCCTTTCAAAATACCTCCTTTCCTAGTGATGTTACCTAGAGGAAGGATTAGAAACATTTAATAGACAATGTCTCCATTTCTTTATCCTTCAATCCATTTTCCAGTTCTAGTATCTCTTTCATAAATGGTAATGGCTATTCACAATTCTTTATTCTGTAGGCAGCAATTTTCTCCCCAGCTGACTGCTTTTCTCTTTTTAACATTAATTTTATGTGCTATTTTCTTGCCTGGTCAACCAAAATTGTCAAGATCTTACTCCATCTCTTGGTCATAAGCTTTACATTTGCTTATATTGAATGATTCTTCACCTTCAAATCACCACCTCTCTCTTCAGTTCCTTCTCCATATTGTTTAATGTTAAATCATTACGCTAAATAAAATAATGATTTTGTCAGTATGTTAAACAGCATGGTTCCCACACGCATTTCAGGAGGAGGAGATAGGTAAGAGAGAAACCAGGACCTTGCTAGCAAATCTCTTTCCCTTATAGTTCTTAAATATTTACTTTAATCCCACATCTTCTGTATCTCTTCATCAGTTATTAATCTATGAGAAAACCCTCACCGCCCTACCTGTAACAACGTTATTCTTTTACGTAAGCAGAGACTGACTGGGAAGTTTGTTGAGAGCTCCCGGCAAATGCGAGACATTAAATCAGATGAATCACCCTTATCCCCAGGCTTACTGACTCCTTCAAGATCTCTTTTTGAAGGATGCTTTCCCTCTTCAAAAAAGCAAGTTGATTGTTCCCACCGTATCATATCTATCTGTGTGTGAACTGACTCCATTCATCACTGCACTTGTTTTATTAGCCTGCCTGGTAGGGAAGTCGGATTTCTTAATCTATAATTCACAGGGCCCCTCCTGGAGCCCTTTTCAAAGGCTGGGACAAACTTGTTGCTTTCTGTTGGCACTGAGGCGGGTTTTAGCACTACTGTTGTTTATATTTAAGCAGTTTCACATTTGAATTTACATTAGAGCTCTTGGATGAATGCAGTTGGAGCCCAGTGATACACTACATTTGATTTTCCTGAGGATTTTGCCCCCGTCTGCTAAAATGCATTCAGTAGCCATTTCAGTTTGAGACTTTGCCTTTGACTTATTCTCTCCCTTGCTCCAAAGAATGACCCTGTCGCAAGAACATGTGGGTGTGCTCCCACATATTTTCTGCTCATGAACAACAGTGCAAAAACCCCAAATTTACAGTTCTTCATTAAGAACACAGTTGTTTACTAGATGAGGAGATTCAACTGCTATAAATATCTCAGAAAGATGCCGAAAAAAAACCCTGAATGTTACCCTTTGCTTCCAAAGTAATTTGGCTCGATGAAAGTACTTGCAACTTAAGTTTTCAGTAAACCACAATTATTTATATAGAAGAATAGGTTGCACAGAGAGGTTTCCTTATCAAAAAAAAGGTTCACCTTGAAAAAAGCTTCAAAACAAGTTCTGCAAAAGAAAGGACCGGATAATAGGGAGCCCAATAACTGGGTAAAGAAACCACCCTAGATCAGCAACAACTTTAGCAACTGGAGCCCGTGCGCATAGAACATCTATGGACAACGGCACACATGCACAGGAATGGCACCAGCAGGACTTGGGTTTCCATTGCTGTATTTTTCAGTCTTTCAAAAATGATTCAACGGTTTTTAGTTTGATTTTTTTATGGCAACTTATAAAAACACCACATTCCTGGGGTATCTGCAGGTTTCTAACACCACAGTACAGAAAGCCCACACCATCCAAAACACATAAACGTTTATGGAAACTCAAAGAGATGAAGGTCCTGCCTAGCTCACTATGTGCTTAGTTTGTCATACATGCAAAATGTAGCCAGACATACAGAGGAAACAAGAATCCCTTTGCAGGGATTATGTTACAACGCCCTGAGACGAGAGCAGCCATAACCCACCAGAGCCAGTCATAATTTTACCTGGGCTATCTACTGTTGTGTTTTTTTGTTTTTTTTTTTTAAATTATTATTTCAAATGTCCTTTTTGGTTGTTTTGTTGTGAACATATGAAATTCACTCTGGCATTACTTCCAAGTAAGAGTGTTAACTGATGACAGCCAACCATACATGTAAGGATGGAATTATCTTATGTAAGCATCAACTAATAATTTTATCTCCAGTATTATAAGAAAATACTTACTTTATAACCATTACCATGTACCAAACATTTAGTCAGCACAAATATTCATGTTTTACTAATAGAAAAGCACAACCACACACACACGTACATACAGAGCAACGACAGGGTTGCTGCCTCAAGTACGATCAGCCCTGCATGGCCTCTGAGATGCCCAGACCTGATTTAGCCTTCCAGGAAGTCAGATACTAGGCATAGCAATGAATTTATAACATGGGCTGTGACATACTCTAAAAGGCACGCATATATTGCTGGAGGAGTGGTTAACTTAGTCAAGATATAATGGAATTACATAGAAGAATCCCTTGGAGGCCTCCTTCTGTGCTCTCATTTTCTACTTAGGTTACGTGCTTTTCATATCAATATTTTTTTCCCCCAGTATGCAAGAACATGCTGATAATACAGTGATTTGTTATAATACAGTGATAGTTCTTCAATAAAGCAATTTTAAATGCAAATTACAGACTTCTAAGTTGCCATGCCTGATTGCATCACCTGGACATAGTTTGTAGATAGCAAATTTAAATAAACTTTGAAAATGTCAATATATGAAATGCAACTACATAAAGTCTGAATTAGCTTTACATAGCTGATTTTACAGATTTTACCATTTATCTGTAACTACCTAATTCTAAGACACAGGAATAGCATACATTTAAGTAATTCTCGGATGATATTAAAAAAACCCCGAAACTGTGAGCAATCATATTTGAACTTTTTAAGTATATAATTTCCTATGAGTTCAAGTATCTAATCCTAGCTTGACCTGGCAAGCTGCCTCATGTGAGAACAGCAATGTGATTCGCTGTTCTCTAAAATTCATAGTTTGAAGCCAAGATATTTAGTGATTATATTTTCATTAATCATACCATGAACAATTGTTCTGATCAGATAACTGGATACAAAAAAAAGGATTATGGGATATGCTGCTGAAAAACTACAAAATTTCCAGCTTACTTAAGGTCAACTACAATAGGAAAATACAGGTCTAAGTTTTACAAACTTGATTCCTTTATGCAAGTGAGTTTTTCAGAAAAAAAGTGAATTAAAAAGTAAAGGTGACTGCTTAGCTTTGGGGCTTGGTAATTGGTACCAAGTATCCCACACACTATTGCAGAATCTATTATTACTACACTGCGCTCTCATCTATTGGAGCATGTTGGAAAAGTCAACATCGCTGTTGCAAAGCAACCCAAGATTTTGTACTTCACTGTGTGTACTCCCTGGACTGCAGGGGGACAGCCTGCCTCACCAGGGTCTTCACCACGGGCTGCAGGGGAATCTTCGCTCTGGCGCCTGGAGCATCTCCTCCCCCTCCTTCTGCACTGAACTTGGTGTCCGCAGGCTTATTTCTCTTACATGTTCTCACTCCTCTCTCTGGCGGCTGTTTTCCGCACTGTCCCAACTTTTTTTCCTTCTTAAAAATGTTATCACAGAGGCGTTACCACTATCACTGATTGGCTCGGCCTTGGCCGGCGGCGGGTCCATCTTAGAGCCGGCTGGTATGCGCTCGCTCTCTCTCGAACACAGGGGAAGCTTCCAGCAACTTCTTACAGGAGCCACCCCTGTAACCCCCCCCGCTACCAAAACCTTGCCACATAAAACCAATACATTCACTCATTTTGCTTTCCAGATTTTCATACTTCCCAACTCCCGTAAATAAATTAGCTTCCTTACCTTCATAATGTTTACTAAGTCTGTTTGATAATAGCGATCTTGGTGTGCATTAGCAGCTGCTAAAGTGAGAAGATAATCATTCCTTGCATGGATAGCCTTGGAATTACACTCGGATCGTCGTGCTTTTAACTACAACAAGAAATGGAAGTTAAAAGAGAGGTACTAATGAGAAGTTAAATGACCAAACATGTATAAATAGTAAATTAATATGCATATGTATGTATTAATATAGTCAAAACTTTAAGGGATTAATAGCTTAACAGTTTTGTTAACAGTAAGGGGATTTCTAATGTATTTTTCTCTCATGCAGTTGTAATTTCACATGCGGTCTTCAAAGAACACTTATAACTTTATTAGAAAAAATCTCCTTGTAAACTTGGTTATATGTAATTCTGCACACTGACTGCTGAGAGAGTGCTCTTATCTCATCGCTGATTCTAACAATATACCTTCCAAAATGTCAGTCATCTCTAGATTCCAGACAACTTCAGTCATATGCCTCATGAAATTAGCACCAAAATTTAAGTTCTTCTTAGACTCACCTTTACGCTTGCCTTCTGCAAGCTTATTCTTGACTGAAAAAGACTAAGTTTGGACCTGAAACAGAAATTAACAGAAGATATTACTGTCTTACACCATTTCTATAAAAGTACAGGATAGACAGTCCACTGCACTTCACTTCTGCAAAATTTTCATTTAAATAACTGTTTATGCCTAAATTTTTATTTGTATAGTTTTAAGTAAAGCTTAAGGATAGAGGAAAATATTACAAACTATCCTCTGCTGCATCAATAGTATCTTCATTGTATGTTCTGAAATCTTTTGCACACCTTACCCTGATTTTGGAACAAAATTTAAATACATTGTGAAAGAGGAATTGGGTGGCGGCTGCAACTCAAGTCATTTTGGTGTTTGATGGATTTTAAGTTAGCTCAAAGTGCTATAAATTTGAACTACTGGTCATCTGAAGGGATATTAATGCAAAACCATTAGCAATTATATTCCAGGAAGCTAGAAGAGTACCCACATACAGACACATATTTTTAAAAGCATAATTGGTTTGATTTTCACATTTGGATTCATGAAAAAGAATTAGAGAACTACTCAGCTATTTGAAACATGGTGGTTTAAAAAGTAAGTAAGAAAGCAAAATCAAGTAAATAGCTATTTTAATCTGCCCAATACTGCAGCATGAATCTGTCCCCAAATTCTCAAGCTCAAGGTTTTGATTGTTTTGTTTGTTTCTTTGTTTTTTTTTACTTTCTTCAGGTATTACAGGTAATCTTGATAAAGTTCTTCTTTTCATCATCCAGCCCCCATAAAGTGAAAGAGAGAAAAATTCTCTAATGAAACCGTAATTTCTTTTCATTCCCTGAGAACGATTCTGAGTAATTTCTAAAAATAAAATAAATAAATAAATTTGCAAAAAAGGGTCAGGCAAATTCCCACAAGACAGGCCAAACTCCAAACTGAAAACATGTGAGTTACTTCTTTCCTGAAAAGAAGGAAATCAACCTCTTTAGGATGTCAAGGAGCATAAAAACCTAAAGCTTCAGAAATTTATCTTCAAAAATGGAAAATAGTGTCCCATCCCCTCTCCCCCTCCAAATGGACTGATACCAAATTTGAGATCTGTGGAGAGAAAAGGAAGTAAGCAGCCTTTAATATCAAAAAGAGTGCCAGCTCACATACTGTCCTTTGAAAATGTCAATTTAAAGCAGTTAGTTTAAACTCCTTCCTAAAGAAACCAGCCCAAGTAAGTTATGCGTTACTATCAGGGTAGTAGCATGCTTGAAATGGTTACAAAAACGTATATATGCAAAAAGAAAAAAAAATTGGTACAAGCTCATTGAAAGCAATTATCTTTCTTCCAACATAATATCAAGTATAAAAAAATAATACAAGTACAAGTCTGCTTTATAAGCATGCAATTATTTATACATATGCTATTATAAAAACATACTTGGCCTCAATATCAGCTTTCTCCCGCACTGCTTGAGCCATCTGTTCAGTCTCAAAATATTTCTTTTTGCCTTTAGCTAAATCTTTTACTGTCTCTTGTAATTCAGCTTGGATCCTTGTCAACTGGTCCACGCACTAAAAAAAAGCATTCAGGAAACAAAACATTAATTTTTTTTGCATCCAAATAATACTATCATCATAATTTTACTACATTTATTTATTACATTTTACATGGAACAACATGGTCTCCAAGTCACTCTTGGTCAATTATTCATGCCTTTCTTTTAAAGCTGATCAGAACATAAAATCGTATTTCTTTCTTTCTTTCTACTGCTGTTTATTCAAATTCAACGATAACTTGCAAATTAAACATAAAAGTTCTGAAAGCTTTGGATGAGGTAATTAGTTGAAATAATTGGAATACAATTGGGAAAAATCCAAAGGCAATCTACTGGAGGTGATACAAAAAATAATTAATCTTTCCTTCTCTAAAATTTACAACATAAGAGAAAAGCTTCCATGTAAAACACAACAACACAACAGCAACAAGAACCATTTGATAAACATTATTTTAAGAGCTCATTTTTCTTAAACTATTTCGAGAGCTTTTCAACAAATAGGGTTATATCAGAAAGCAGTGTCATTCACAAAGAAAACTTAGAGGCTTAATATGTATAGCAAGCTAGTCAAGGAGTGAAAATAATTCCATCCATTTTCCATATGACCCAACCAGTGTTACGACATACATTTTAATGTCAAAAAATAATATTCAAAAGAATAGCAGAAAAATTACTGTACTGGTTTTGGCTGGGAGAGTATGAATTTTCTGCATAGTAGCTGGTACGGTGCTATGTTTTGGATTTGTGTCTAAAACTGTGTTAATAACACAGGGATATTTTAGCTGTCGCTGAGCAGTGCTTACACAGTGGCAAGGTCTCTTCTGTTTCTCATGCTGCCCTGCCAGCAAGTAGGCTGGGGGTGCACAAGAGGGTGGGAGGGGACACAGTGGGGACAGCTGACCCCCACTGACCAAAGGGTATCCCATACCATACAACGTCGTGCTCAGCAATAAAAGCCGGGGGAAGAAGGAGGAAGGAGGGGACATTCGGAGTTTGGATATCTGTCCTCCCAAGTCACTGTTATGCCTGATGGAGCCCTGCTTCCCTGGAGCTGGCTGAACACCGGCCTGCCAGTGGGAATGACTGAATGAATTCCTTATTTTGCTCTACCTAATAAACTGTCTTTATCTCAACCCACAAGTTTTCACACCTGTACCCTTCCAATTCTCTCCCCCATCCTGCCAGAGAAGAGTGAGCGAGCGGCTGCTTGGGCTGCACTGCTGACTGTAGTTAACCCACAATTACCAAAATGTTCAGCAATTCTTCAAACATCCTATCAGCTTCAAAAAAAATTTCTGGGAAAGGATCTATGTTAAACAGAAAGAATCTACTTAACAAACCAAATGTGAATTATCAATATTTAGAATTATACTATCTTTAAAAAGAGATTTGTAAAGATTTTCGTTTACCCAAACTAGCTTAAGTACATATAAGAGTGATAGTTCAATGCATTTATATTTAATTATAGATATTACAGACTAGATGTGGTCAACGAAGGCTCCAGGCAGAGCCTCAAGCTAGCTTAAGGAAACCAGTTTGCCTTTCAATTTGCCTTTCTGTCCTTCAAAGACCAGACCCAAGGTCCCACCTCTTTTCACACCATTATCACATACCCAGCTTCTCCCATTCAAGGTGCCACATGTTGTCCTCTTACTGAACACCCCTCCTAAACACCTAAGGTTTTTCATTCCACTAACTATTAATGCATGTAACCTCTTTTACAAGCACTGCAAGACTAATAAGGTGATGTAATCTAACAACATAACATTAATTTCACAGTATTCAACAACTGTTAAAAGCAATATCCAGCCACCTGCAAAAAAGAAACTTTTTGTTTCAGTCAATAGAAATTGCTCATCTTCCCATCACACAATTCTGCTCTCACTAAAAGTGTCAAATTCCTTTCTGGCTGTTAAGTACGTAAAAATTCATATAAGTTCACACTAAACCCAGTATTTGATGTGGGCAGAGCAATAAAGCAATGGGCTCCGTAAGGTAAGCTTCGCAGTGGGTGGTTTGGGGAGTGGCTGAGGGCAGGATTGGGTTTTTTGAAGACCCCTGAGTGTATGATAGAAAAACGAAAGGTAGAAAAATCTGTATATATTGGACAGCTGACAGAGACCTAAAATCATTTCAAAAGGACTGGGTTTCTGCTACATCAATCGGTATTTTGATCCCTGAAGCCTCCTGCCGGCATCAAAAAATTAAAATATCAAATAACCCTAGTTGTTAACACAATCATTTTAAAAGCATAAAATAATCTTGCTTTGGCATCTCTTAAGAATAAAAAACTGTCAGGAGACTGGATGTTATTTAGGGTTTTTGGGTTGGGTATACACCGGTTGTATGTAAAAAGCTGTTTCAGAGAGCTGGCAGAGATGATTTCTTGATGCAATGCCTCCATGCAGAGCGATTTTATTCTGTTTGCCTTTCAGTCTTCTGATACAGATCCGTGCGAACGTCTGCAGTGGTGGCCACATCATCTTTCCTGAAGATATCTGACGAACGTACACTGCAGCTCTCTGCCTCGTCTTCCAAGGCCAGCGTATGAAACCACACATCACTTACGGGATAAGCTTACAAGGTCTCTGGGGAAAGATAATGGTAGAGGGGGCTCCTGCCCTCTGAACAGCCTTCTCGTCTGTGTCCAAGAGCCGCTGAGTGAGGGCAGGGGATCGGTTTCCTTAAGAGGTCAGACGTGGTCTACAGGAGACACATTTATTACCCCCGCTCCAGAGTCACTTTGCAATTTAGCAATATTTTTCAGCAAATTATGAAGAGGTTTTCTGAAATTGTTCCAGTTTAGTATTAAAATGGGTCATAAAAATGAAGTTTCTATATGCTACCAAGTCACGGAAGTAAAAGTTTACAGAAACATCTGGAAAATAAAGATGACATCTCATCAAGAGCAACTCAATACCTACTGCAACCTTGGAAGGAGACGCTGTTTCTAATAGAAACTCGATTTTAGATGGGCATTCCAGTGTAACATTACAAGTATTTTACTGACTCTGAATTTCAATTTTGATAAGCTTTGTCTGAATGCACCGTATAAAACAATAAATTTGTTGTGGAGGAAAATTAATACCACCAAGTGGATGGTTATTCCACGTTGTAGAAAAAGTGTATCACTGTTAGAATACTTTGAAGCAGAAGTACCTCCCCGATAATTTTAATAACTTGTTCTGCTAATTCAAAAATGCAGGAAAAAAGGAACCTCTATCATTTGTATAAATTTAAGGAAGTGGTCCCCACTTCTACTGCAGACTCCTAAACACTGAACTATCAGCACTTGCAGAAAGATAAAACTGGAGATGATTTACCCAGTAAGGATACTATAAAATTGCTACAGCATTGTCTGGAAAGCTTCACAGAAAAATGAAATTCCACAGAACAATAAAACAACATTAATAAAGTTAGTTTTTCCTCCAGAAAAACAGATTATTACGCACGCTTCTAAGAGCTGTATAATAACTTGTTCAGAAAAGAGAGCTCGTGTTACACTAACATCTATTTAGAAATTTGTAGTCAAATATTTTACAAAATGCTACTCTAGAACATTTAACTAGGTAAGTTACCATTAGTTGTCATCACTGTTTAGCAAACAAAACTGAAATGGTGCATTGTTTGGGTTTTTTTTCTTTTACCTTGAATGGATCATTCAAATTAAATGCAGATGTGATGTTAATAAATGCTCAATAATAATGTACAGAAGAAATATTTATAACTACTAACTAATGCCTGAGAAAGTATCTTCCACGAGCGTTTCTATTTCCCTCCTTATGTTTCATCTAAGGCACACACTGAGCATTTGAAAAGAATCATTCTTGAAAACTTCCAAAAATGTATGTTTGGTGCAGCAGTGACTTTTTGTAAACTATTCTCACTCTTTAAAACAGAATGCTTTCTCCCTGCTCCAGCAAAATCTGCAGAACACAAACACAAAATAATTAAAATATGAAGAGTACTTAGCTTTACATAAATACACATCACTGTACTTTTAAAATGTGCCTTACTGCCTTATGGAAACAGATGGAACCTAGCATTATATTTGAAACGCATTCTGTATTAAGAGGTATGGTAGAGACCTCTTAAGACATAAATGACTTTCAAAGGCAACAACCAATTAAATGAAAGTCAAGCTTACTTTTCTCCTTGAACTACACTATTTTCTCTTCATGGATTAACAAATCAATTATAGAAGCTTTTGGAATACTTACTTGTGATACCTTTACAGGAGGTGGCTGGATAACCTGCATTCTACATCTTGAAGACTGCATAAGTCATTCCTTCAGGTTTAAGATAAGCCTTTTCTTAAAATCAGAACCTATTCTAACAAAACCCACTTGCAATTGTCACTGCAAAACCAATTCAGTGTAATTGCCACAGCATGATGTTAGATTTGCAGAGATAGTTTTGACCAACGGCATATCACATTTAAAAGACTCATTTCCAAGCAACTTTGATTTCAGATAACATAGCTCAGATCTTCAACAAGCTGGCTATTTACTTCTATAACAACATGCATAGGAAGACACTGAAAAGTACAAACGTATTTTAGAAGTGCCCTACCAAAAGATTTCTAATAACCATTTTTTTCTAAATAAAACCAACATAAGTTTAAATAACTTATTAAAGTGCAAATACCTTCTTCAACTGCTGTTCCTTAAAGCACCGTACAGTCCTGGCTGGTTCAGAAATTAAGTTTTTATAGTTCTCACAGATACTGAGTCGGGATTGGGCCACTTGCATCGTGCCTTCTAAAAGTGATTTCCAAACTGAGTACATGCTCCTAAAATAATGAAACACAGAAAGGTTATGGGAAGGAAGAAAGGGAGGCCCGGCAATACACTGAAAATACGGGTTGGTTTACATAATAGCAGCACAATTCTTCAAAGGATTGCTTTTAAAAATAAAGCTAAATCACAGTCCTTCATGCTGATTTGGCAAATACCTGCACTTTTAACAAAAATTTTAACTGAAATTTTACCAAAAGTAAAAATTTGCCTTCCTGTCCCTGCTTAGTGAGTGAATTTTTTGGCAAATATTTTCGGTTGAACCTGTTGCTCCAATGGAACAGACCCTACAGAATCCAGCAGCCAAAGTCAGACAATTTTGATAAGAACATGGATTTTATGATTTTGGGCATCTTGCAATCAAACAAATAGTTCTAGACTGCTAATCAATTTTGCCTCAGCTACCTGTAGTTTCTTCATCATGTGTAACAGGCCAAAGACAACAACTGTAACTGTGTAGTGAGCTTTGCAGGGCCCCAATAATTTACAAAAGCTCAGAAGTGTCCAGGTCAGAAGGACAAGGTGGAGCAGGGAGAGCAGGGGAAGAAGATGACAAAATGTCCCCTGCAGCTGGCAGAAAGGAAAGATTGCTGGAGCTTGCAGAGCCCAAGTACTTGGTGATAAGAAGGGAGGGGCGGCAGGTATTTGGAGAAGACCTCTGGGCACCATGGGTGTATCTGACGGCATGAAAGGTTTGCTGAGTGGGGAGCAAACTGCAGGTAGGAGGGGTCTGTGTGTTATGGGAGCATTTTATATACACTTAAGACTGATAATTCAGTTTATTCCTTCTCAGATACACAAGTGGTATGAAGGTGCTGAAAGTCCAAAACACAAATCTATCAACATTTTTTCCTGTTTGAAGTAAAACTTGTCAGAATACAAAGAACACATTAAAATAAAGTATCTTAAAACTTTTTCAAAATATTTAGGAGGTACTATACAAAGGTAAGAGGCTTTCAGCAACTGAGTCATTTCTGTTTTCATGTTATGATCCACCTTTCATGTTAATGAAACTAAGTTTGTAAACAACTGTTTCTTGCTTTGCGTCCTCTTTGCTGTCAGATGTGATCTGTGATCTTCATGAAGAATGGCCTCCTAAAAAGAAATTTGTTGCTGTCTTTTCCTGTGAAGAAATCCACATGCTTATTACTCTAACCGTAAAGCTATTTACTAAAATATATATTCAGATACAAGCATTAATACCCAAACAGGGTGTACAATTGCAGTTGTTGTCCTGTCTTGCCATTTTGTTTTTCCAATCTTCCTAAATTATTCAAATAATAAATATCTATTTAAGACTAATCCCAGAATTTCAGGGGAAAACAAAGCTTCACTTTTAACTGGCAATGCTCTACAACAAAGAAGAAAAATAACTACCTACAGAAGAGCAGTGTTTCATTGTTGAGTAAAATAATTATACAAATTGAAATTATAAAGACAGCTATTTTGAGATATCCAACTGTTAAATTACCTATAATCACTTCGTTCATCAGCTTTTACTCCAAGCCAGTCCTTCTTTAAGTATTGGCTAGCCAGCTTCTGAATGCTCTGTTAAAAGAAGGAAAAAGAGAAAGTTAAAAATAAGAGGTACCTAAAATAACATTTTTACCCCCGTATCAGACAAATTATAACCTGACATATAAAGAAGCAATCAATCTATAGTATTAGCAAACTACTACATTGCAAGACTTATTTTTACCCCTTTTTATATTTTTGTTTGACTTTAGTTTCTGTTGAGGACAATTAATGAGTTTCATGTTAATATTTTAAATCAGAGGGACTCTAGCTGAGATTGACACATGCACACCTCAGCTCTGAAAGTATTTCTGCATGTGACTAACCCCTGTGAGACCAATAGTACAGAAGATGTTTGAGCAGTGTGTGGCAGAATCAGAAGCAGGAATATTGCAGGAAAAATGTCTCAATTTGTCACAGCTATAAGAATCAAGATTTTTATTTATCTGAATGAGGACATGGGGTTCTGAGAAGCAATGACATATTTGGCCATTTATCAGCCCACACCGAAATGCACAACTTTCATCATTCATGGTTGCACCGTTATCAGTGAATCAAAGAAGCTCTACTGCTCACAGGATCAAGCCTTTGCTCAGAAGATTACAACAGACTAGAGATTGAAAAATGCGGTTCATTTTTAATTATTAATGTTAATTACGCTCTTCAGTCTCCACGTTTCACTTTGCACCATCTTTGAAAATCAATAACAACATCTTCATACTCAAGCTCAGAAAGCAGCAAAACTGAATTTGTAAACAATGCGAGGGAGGGGGAGTCGCTGTAGCAGCAGTCCCTCCTTCGGCTTGTAATCTCATTTAACAGTATATATCACTTATGAATTGAGTACCATCACATGGAAAAGAGGATGTATATTATCCAACTCATGGAGTCGTATGACAGGTTTATGAACGCTGAGCAGCGTTCCCCCTTCTTCAAAAGAGCCATCACCAGAGAGGCACTCTCCAGCTTTTGTATAAAAGTATACTTAGCAAAGAAATGGGAGACCTGGGTTGAAATTCCCTTTCCAGCCAAGAAAAATCAAACCCGCAGATGCTGTCCAGAAGAGTGTATCCTGGGGAAAAGCCTGCATTGAGACTTCTTCGCATCCAACCCACTCAATGAGAGGCACGGTGCAGCATCATTTGTTTACATTTTCCATATTACATTTAAGATGCCATCACCTGCTAGGACAGCCTTTAAGTTCACTTAGAGAAAAATATCAGAACTATCTCAAAAAGCACAACCAGATTTCATTCTTGTCTTACCAGCCCATTTGATGCTAAAATTTACTACCAAGCTTACAATCTGATTGACACTTTCACACAGAAAAATGTTAATTGTTGCTAATACATCATTAGTGGAAAACTTAGGCTCCCTCATATTAAATATATCTATTTCACCTTACAGTCCAACTCCAACTGCTCTGAACCAGTCTGCTGAGCTGGGTACCAGTTTTCAGTGTTAACAATGCTTACAGACAGGTTTATGCTAATAGTCCTTGTGAAGCTAATTTCTTAATGCAAAACTCATTAATAAGTGTCCCAATGTGCTGCTATTTCCCATTCCAAGCTTCCACACCTTCCCAAGTTACCTTCCCCGATTTCCATTGCACTTTTTGCTCAGTTAAAGGTCATTTTCAAATTCCACGTTGGTATTTCATTCTGACATGTTCATGTATACAGTCAGCAATACTGTCCACAGGTAAAGTTATGCCTGTAACCATAAATTCTTGCATTTCCATTGCAGTTTCTTCCATTTTTTAAAAAAATGCATGAATTGCATTAGGTAGCTATTAAAAATTCCAGATAAAAGGAAAAAATAACATTTCCTTTAACTCTGGCAGAGGAATCTGTGATGAGATTTGGAACTTTATTAGGTACTCCCACCTGGTGCTATTTTCATGTTTCCATCCCTTCTGTATCAGACTCTACCTACAAGATCTGCCTGAAGATGCTGAACATTCACAAACACAAAACTAACTATGAAAAAAGCTAACTGGCAGTTAAGGGCAAGCTATGCCAAAATGAACGATGCAAAAAAGTCACAACAGGGATAGATAAAGCCATTTTTGCACACAGAAACCTTATTACTGATGTCAGCAAATCAACTATAAAACTAGCGCGATTATATGAGCTTAGCCATTTATTTCCAAACTGAAGAAGCTCGCCACCAAAATCAATGAAACATCAAAGAGAAGGCTGCAGCTGCATGTCAAAGGTGTCTGATCATTTAGTACCCATTCATGAAAACCGATAAACCAAGTGTTGGCATTTCATACAAAACTGCTGTCGGCAAACGTATAGTTTTTAATTAGACCAGTACAGTAGGTTTGTTTTCTTAAAATTTATGCTGAACGTAACTTTTTTGTATGAGATCCTCCTTGTTCTATTCTCAATAACACTTCTTGTTCTGCTCTACCAAAACAAAGATACCACTGTCGGGCTCAAGCAGGGAAGTCAACTGATTGTTTAACCTTTGGCATCGCCCAACTTCACCCACAGCCTAGGAGCGTGCTTGTTTTTTCCTCAGAGGTGCACATTGATCACGTTTAACAGGCTTGAGATAATTATATTTAAACACAAGAATAAACTTGTAGAGAGGCAAGAACAGAAGTCCATGCAGAATGCTCTCCTGATTTCAATATTGTTTGATGGCACATTTCCTTATTATTTATTTAAAAGTAACTAGAGAATGGAACAGAGCTTCACTGAGTAAAGGCGCTATCAAAAATTACAACATAAATCCCCATCCAAAGTTGAGTGAAATCCATAAAACCTCTTGTTCCTCTCAGTTTCACTGGGCTACAGACAGTCAGAGTGTCGTGACTTAAAATCCTGCTCAGGAGAAGCAATATTGCGAGGTCGGTGTATCTGCATCCCCAGCTGCCGCGTGGCTCACGAGCCCTGTGTCCCAGCATGCTGGGCACCTCCATGTACCATGCAAAGGCACAGGCCTGCCTTCAAAACCTTTGGTATCTGAAAAAACACTAAAACCATTTTTAGTATAAATAAAACCACAATTCACCAAAACTACAAAAACAGTCTGCTCTGAAGGCTGTCAAACAAGAAGGTTTTCTGATTTAATTTTTTCCACTTCATTCTATGGTGTATATCATTGAATTTGAAAAAAGTTCAGTTAATTTTTTTTTAATCATAATGACAATTGACTTCTTTTAAAGTACACTATTTTTAATCAATAATTATTGACATGAAAGGTCAAAAATGCCTGAAATCCCCTGCAAGCACTGTGCAACCTCTGCTCACCCTTTGTCAAAAGAAATGTACTTGGTGACTTCACTTGTGCGTGTTATTAGCAAATTAAGCAGGATTTAGAAATAGCAAATATAAAACAGTGTAAACAGACTGGCTGTCACATAAACCCAATTTTAATTCATCTGAAGAAGATGCATATCCTTCCTCCACATCTCGGTTTTCCCTTCCTCCCCCCATCAAAATGTATGTTATATTTCTATGCTACAAACACATTAATATTACATATTCATGGGTACTTCAACTGTTTGCAAATCTGCCTAACAGATGGATGGATGGAACATAAAATTGTGTCAATCAATCATCCAAGGAATCAACACCTATAAATGAAATTCTGCTGAACAGGAAGGCCATCCAAAAATCAGCACAGTTTCACGTATGCTCACATTCATATTTCCCCATGCTGCAGCTCCTATTTGATGTTCCCTATTACCAGATCTTACCCTCAAGTCTATTTATTGGTATTTTCTAATAAAGCCAGTTGTGACAGATATTGGGGGAGGAAAAAAAATTTAAAAAATGCTGTAATTCTAACAGAAAGTAATTACCATCAGAAAAGGAAAGATGTCCCAAATTAAAAGATCACCGATAGAAAAGTATGCGTCTTTTTAAAAGGTATAGGAATGATGCTTTTCAAAGCAGTCCTAAGAACTTTATCTGTAATAATTGAGAGGTGCTGATGACAGCCAGGTCCCCTAAAACCTATTATTGATTGCAGAAAGCATGGCAGACACTAGCTGATGTAACACTGCATTTTGGAAAATATCTGTCAACCAGACAAATTTAGTGCTCTTTTTCATTTAGGTGGTTTCAGTATCTTGCATCATTTTGATCACTTCTCTTTATCAGAGCAGAATCCATCAACCAACCCTTTATAACTTCCATTTCTACAAATAAATCTACACTGTGCTATTACTGTTGCATTAAAAAGGAACCTTGAATTGAGGACAAAGAAATACTGTCCTCGGAGTTATCTCTAATACTCAGCGATCCAAGGAACTCCAACATAGGCTGTAAGCAAATGGCCCAAATAATCCCTCTGAGTGGGAAAAAGGAAATGGATGGTAGAAAAAGCCCAGCCAGAAGGTAAGGCCTTAGGCACATGCTAAATCTGAGGCTGGCAGATGAGAAGGGCATATGGACAGCAGCTGCTGTAACAAGCCTATGATTGAAAAGCTTCCTCCAGCCATGCCGTTTGCAGCGGTGCTGGGACCTTGAAACAGCCAGCGACGGAGAAGATACAAAGGAATATGAAAGCAGGAGAAGAGGGGTGAGTTCCTACCTGAAGCCAAGTGCGAGTTGGGAAGATGATGTCCTGTATGTTTAATATTCGTTAGCTACTACATGATGTTAATACACTATTATTCTAGTTCAAAGAACAACTTTTCTAAGCGCTGATCACTGACAAGAGACAAAAAATAAGGCTTCCCCCCCCCCCCCCACAGATGCATGCATGGCAATTTGCCTGACTGATCCTCGAGATCACTGCTTATGTATTATGTGCCACAGCAACAGCTTTCTGACATTATTTTGTTTACTAAGTGACATTACTTTGTTTGCTAAGTACTCTTCTGGCAGGCAGACACTCCACAGCGGAAAGGTTTTTAGCATCTCTTTACTTGACTTCTTCTCTGCAAGGAATGAGGTTACTCACAGTTCAACTGACTTCACAGAAGTTTGGAAGCCAGTTGTACTATTCAACACCTGCAAATTAAGGCTCTCTAATAGCAGCAAGAAAAAGTAATAGTTTTGTTATGTATAAAT